CCTTATTTTGAATTTGAATGAAATTCCTTACTATGCATCAGATAACTATTAAGTACTAGGCAGTGTGTTCGTGGTGCTGGTGGCTGGTGATTTGCAGCCACGACCAGGGACACAGATGATTTAAACAATTTTCTTTTTTTTTACTGATAAAAAGCAAGATAAAAAGCAGGACATAGATACAATGATAAGGCTAAGAGCTAAGTGTGAGAAGATTGTTCACAAAAAGTAACTTCACTAAATATGCAAAGGACAAAGAGAAATACTTTAAAGCATGTACACTTGAAGCATAATTTCTAACTTTTTTTTTTGGTGGAACCAGGGATTAAACTCAGGCCTTGCACTTCCCGAGGAAGGGCTTATTCCACTGAGCCATCTCCCTGGACCCTTAATTTCTAACTTTTAAGCACAGTTATGATGTACATTTGCCTTCTTGAGCATCTATTAGCCAAGCATTCGCTTGTTTTCATTTCAGAACTAGAGAAACATTTTTCCTCGGCAGTAAGAATTGAGTCCAGGAAATTTGGAAGGCAAATTATCTTCTCGTAAATTTAAAGCTATTTGAATTTAATTATTTGAATTTGACCAAATCAGAAGTGTGAAGAAAAGGCTTGGCACACAGAGTAGTGTAAATTGTCCAGTAGGTTATTTTTATATTTAGTACTAATAACAAATCATTTATTTGAGTTTTTATAGTTTGTGAGGATATTTGTTTGCCAGGTACTATCTCATTTGATGTCAATACTCATAAAAAACATATGAAGATGATAATAGTTGCCCTTGTTACAGTAAGGAAATAGGGGCTCAGACAACATAAATAGCCTGCTCTCACTTATCTTTTAACTTGGGCTGGATTAAAAATCAGACAATCTGACTTTCTAAACTTTTGAGATTTTTGACCTTTACCTTCATCACTCTCCATTAATATCTTCAATCAAAAAAAATTCACTAATAAAGAGTTAGAAAATCTATGCAAAGCAAATTCTAAAATGGGATTTCATTGGCAGTCATTTTCTTAGCTGCTGAGGTGGACAAATAATCTGTAATGAAAACTTATATCCAGCCTGTTTAACCTCCTATGCTCAAGTTCTGCTGTGGAAAAAAAAAAAAAAAAAAAAAAGGACATCTAGAGAAGTGGCTGCTTCCCTGGGAGGGTTGTTACAGTTTTAGGATTAAAATAGCTTTGAATCTATTTTTTCAGTGGATGCACTGACCTGGACAGATAGAAACACTAACTGTAGAAAGGATAGTAGGTTCCCACACATTGCCCAAGGGAGACAGGAAAAGCTTCTAAATTGACATCCAGCGAAAGGAAATATCTGACTCCATATAAGCCCTAGAGAAGAAAATTCCATTCCCTGATAAATCATTCAGTCTTCCTATTTAATTATTTTAATTGGACTTCTCTTCAATAGAGCTATTAGTCTACATAAATTTAGAACTTTTTTTTATTGCATGGTATTTGTTCAATTATCTTAGAATTTCTATGCTACTCTTTTGAGTTCAGATTAATAATCTTGTTGCTGAACTGTATTTGTATGAATTTTTAAGTCTATTTAAAGGTGTGAAATTACTAAGTTCAGTAAAAATCATATCTGCATATTGCTCTTCTTTTTGTAGGTTATTAGGTAGCAAATGCATGTTGTTGGAAAGGCAAGCAATTTCATTACATCAAAACTTCAAAAAATAATCATTGCATTTTTAGGTCTTCTGAATCAATGTAGCCAGTTGCATAGAAGAAACAGACTACCATGTGGACACTACTTTGCTTTCATTAGATTTTGAGTTCATGAGCACAACTATCAAGTGGGCACAATGCACAAACAAAAATAACTTTCTCTTTGAAGACCAACATGTTGTGCTTAATGTGAGGTGGGAGATGATTATAATTTTTGGACAGCTTGGAATTTTGTGTTCTCTTTCTGCTGGCTAGGATTCAGGTGCTCAGTATGTAAGATTTCTAAGCAAGTAATATTGTATGTCATGTTGGGTAAAGAAGGAATGAACTTTAATACAACTTTCTGGTGACAACAAAGGGCACATTATGGTTCAGGCATTCTCTACTTTCCCTTTCTTCATTTCCTCATACTACTGTAACTTTTAATTTCTCACCGAGTTTTCAGGCTCGCTATTTTCTTAACTCTTACTTAACCACTCTAGACTGAATCCCATGCATGTAAGCTACTGTGACAATCTTGCCCAATCTCTCTTTCTCCAGTTCTCTTCTGTGAGTGCCTGCAACCTGGGCCCTTTCCTTTTACATTTTGGCTGATAATCTGATTTGTTAAAAAAAAAAAAAGAGTTTTGGAATCAGAATCAAATCTAAATCTTCATGCAGGTTATGCCACTGCTTTCTGGTGGGACCTCAAACATGTAATCCAATGTTTTTGGGTCTTCATTTCTTTACCATTAAAGTGAGGAATTCTGGATAGTTCTTCTCAAGAGTCCTGTATGGCAAAAAGTTCCATATCCCACAGCATTAAATCCTTCAGTCTGTTCTTACCTGTCTCATTTCCCTCACTTCAAACTCTTCATGCTTGAACTGATCTGTAAAGTTCTTTAAACATCATGTTTTAAATTATTTGCCCAAATGCTATCTATAGAAGGTCCGTGGCTGAGGGACCTTCTTGGGATAGTTCAATCTAAGATTTGCTAATTTTATAGTGATGCAAAAACAGTACACATTAAATAGAAATTGTACTTGGACTTTTGACTTTTGGTCTTTCCTGGGCTAGTAATGTATATTATGACAGGGAACCGAGAACCATACAGTCACCAGAGGGCTGCAGGCACTGTGCTGCTGAACAGTGGTGCTCCAAAGGTCAGGCGCACTAAAGCATATTGTGCTTCCAAGCTTTGCCAGCTTCCACTGGGTTTATCAGAGTGTAACTCCATCGTGACTATGGCAGCACCTGCCCTTTTTGCATCCCTAGTTAACCCAGCTAACCTTAAAGCTTTGCCATAAGTTACCAAATAACTGAAGCTTGAAGTATCTTTCCTTCTAATGGTGTGAAGATTTTCTATTTATCTTAAAAAGTATGCAAAGTAATTTAGGGGAAAGTGTCCGTGTTATACTTTTGTTTCTTACCTTTCTTTGATTTTAGGCAAATTCTGCTGAAACTTCAGTCTACTCAACTATAGGATAGACCCTCATTTTATATTTAGATTTACTTTATTTTGTTGTTATGGGAGTCAAAAGAGATAACTTATTTGAAAACATTTTATAAATTGTATAAGGTCACACATGTAAACTTTTATTTTTGTTTCTGTAGGTTCCTTAATTCATTGAAGCCTACACTATCTTCTTTAATACCTTTTGTTAAGCATATTTACTTTTCCTTGCATAGAAAAATCTTTTCTTGCCTATCACGGTTTCTTATCTCAAGCAAATCAAACTTGTGAGGAAATAAACATCTTTCATTAAACCTGCAAGATATCATCCACTAAGTGAAACCTATCTTCTCACTCAAATTAAACTTCAATTAAGTCATACAAGATTAAACTATCATATGTAGATTCAAAATATGTTCGTCTGCCTTGTCCTTTTAAAAGTCCAAAATGCATGTAAGTATAATCTGTATTTTTCACCTAATTACCTACTATCACTGAAGAAATGAAACAGAATAAGTTGCTGGGCCCGTGTAGTCATTTAAGCATGAGATATACAACAAACAAAATAACATTCTTTCCCCTGCTAAAATTAGAAAACACAAATTTTGAAGTAGCCAGTCTAGAATTTCACTGATGTCAGATTTTCAAACCTGTTTTGAATAAATGGATTTACCTTACATCAGTCATGTTCATTTTAAAGAGATTTTATTAGTTCTTTATGACTTTATATCTTGATTGGTTTCTACCTCAATCTGTAAGTCCTATTACTATTACCTATTTTTATAGTAGTAATGAGTTACACATAGGCAAAGGAGAAAATGTATACTCCAGGGAAAAATTTTAATTACAAAGATAATAATAGTATGCCCTCCCTTAACTCTATTTGTGGTAGCTATTTAAAAATAAGTGTATTTCATGCCAGTCCTAATAAGATCAATTAGTTAAAAACCAGGTTAGTTGTCTGAATCAAAGATATATGTTTTTGAGAGCCAGAATGCTTCATACTTTAATACACTGAGGACATTCTATGAAGAGTCTAATCGTGCTTCCAATTCAGCGTATCTTAAACTATGGCATGATTAATTTTTCTGGGAAAAAATTTCCATGAAGTTTCTCTAATAGGTTGCAGAGATAAGGATAGAATCTGAAATACCACTGGAGTTTGGAAAACTAGGAATAAAGGAAGAAATAGCTCTTTTACAAATCTGAGAATTCAGATTGGTTACATAATTAAAGTTTCGCTTCCTTCAATCACAGACAAAACAAACTGTCCTCAACAGGAAAAGTCATTGTCAAAAGAGAAGATTTAACACCCACCTTTTACTTTGCACAGATTCTATTAAGGAAATATGTACCTATGGAAAATGGTAAAATATTCACTAACTTTAGTTAAGTAAATTCTTGTGTTTTTACTAGGGGCATCTATTAATTTTAAATAGGATTTTAGAATCAGGTTGGAGATTTTTGCTCTGACATTTTTCATGGGGCTGTAAATATTTAATTTAAATTTAGAAAGAAAAGTCTATCGAGTAAAACAATAATAAGCACAAATAGACTAGGTAGGCAGTATATTGAAAGGAAGGGAAGGAGTACAAAGAGTGGACACAGATCCAGGAGTTGGGGGAATTTTCCTCCAAGTGAACTGATGCCAACAAACAGACGAGTGATCAGAGGTTGCCCATTTCCTTTCTCTAGAGTTTCAGTGTATTAATAGGTTATTTAGGCTCTGGGTCTGGCCCACTCTGAGAGTCTCTTTCATTTCTAATTTTTAAAATATACTTCTGAGTCCAAGAGGATTCTCTGTATGAATCTTGGCCCATTGTTCTTGGCTTGGAAGCAGCTTCAAAAATGAATCTCATTTAGCAAATCAGAAAAATGCTTAAGTTCCTTACCTCTACAATTCCTATTTTTCCATCTTCTCTCTGCCCATATTGATCCACAAAAGTTTTCATCTCAGGTGATAACTCCTAAAATTATACAAAAGCAAGAAAGAAGTTTGTAAGAAAAGTACTCATTATGGTATTAATAAATTACTGCAAAGAGAAGCCAAAATTGAAACCATTTTGAATTATGTATGATGAGCTACTGTCATCAAATTAAAATCATAATGTCATATATAGCATTTATTATCTTCAAATGAAAGATTTATCATTATGCTGATCATTTTGGAATCAGTCACAATGATTTCTCATCTGTTATTAGTTGTCAGGTCATACTATTTGTTTGAAAATATAGTAAAAATTATTCATTTCATTACTATTAGTGAGTTTAAATATGACGGCTGTTAATATACTCTAAACATTATTTTCTTCACTAAAGGATGCATTATACTGTCACTCTGTCTTGTCCTATAACATTTTTCTTATTCCAATACAGTTTATCCATGGAAAGTAGTAAAATGTATTTTTTGTTTGGACGAACAAAGAATGCAAATACTGAACAGTAACACGCTTTTAAAGCAAGAAATATTTCCAGCACAAAATAGGCATTCACTAACTAAACTTAAAAATTAAACATTTGGGAAAAATATACAGTGAAAAGTGACTTGACCAACTTGTGTGTTCACCAACAGACATGCAATATATGAGGACCTTAGTTTAGACCACTGATGTTATGCTTATGACCTTTGCCTTCAACTCTACCATAAGCAGTGTCCCAGCATGGCTGTGTTTCACATGTTTCTGGGATTATATTCTCTCTCCCATGTATTTAAGCACAATAAAACATGTTTAGGGGTAACTAATTAAATGATAGCTTCTTTTTTGGCTTGTTTTTCTCAGTGTATTACACTACTTTTATCATCTTCTTGCATATTGACAGATTAGAGAGTTATGAACTATAAACTAGTGATCTGAACATAGAACTGGTATTTAGAAAGTTTAAGTTTTTACCTTTGGGTGTTTAGCAGAGCCTATTTAAAATAGCCCTGTTGTATTAACGAAGCCTACTTAAAAATAGGTCAGCCCTCACTAATATCCTATTGTATGTCCTTGAGAATGTAAATTAAGGTCTCAATTTACATCATAACTAAAAAATGGTAGTTACCTACCACAAAATTGTTCCAAAGATAGGCAGATTATTATAATTTAAAGACTATATTAGACTCAATATTACTACTAATAGTAATTATAAAATCCTTTTGGAACAAATGTAGATATCTCTAGTTGAAATAATATGATAAATAGCAATAAAGTAATATAATTTTATCATAGTCTTGAATTGTGCTGTGAACAGATTGCAATTTGCATTTATTGAATTTTGAATACAGGAACAATTACAAGAAAATAAAAAAATCAATTCCATACCAACAGTGGGAATGAGTTCTTTTATTTTTTATACATATCTTAAAGTGAATAAAAACAAATAATTAAGTCTTAAATCTTAAGACTTTGTAATATGACTAGCTTAACTAAAAGTCTTAATACTTATTTTGTGAAATTTCTGGTTGGCAATTGTATCAAAGTCTAGTTTTTTAAGCAGTTCAAGGCATAGTCATCATCAAAGATTGATAAAAACCAATGCAAATTAAAGGTGAAACATTATGTCTATTGTAAAAAAAAGTGGCTTCAGAAATGTATTGGAGTGTCATAACTCATTGGTGCTACATTCACTTAAAATTTTTCAAATTTCACATATTATGTCAAACCAACGTTTCCATTAATGCAACAAAGTACATTATACTATGGCAAGAAATGCAAAGAAGTCTGGATTATAAAGTTAATCTCTATATTTTCAAAAGAGAGAGCATGTGCAAGTAGGCTAATGACAATGAGCTGGGTAGTATTATTAAAGATGTGTGTAATATGTAAACCTCTCAATCTAGAACTTGACTTGTATGCTTTTTTGGCTTAGATTTTTGACCATTCAGAGCCTATCCATATAACCCGGCAAATCCTCAAGTTTGAAGGTGAGCGACTTGATACAATCTTAAACGTGTGCTCAATTGGATTATTATTGATTTCTAATCTAATAATTGGAGCTTCATATAATTCAAAATTGGAGGCTAGACCGTAGAAGAAATGATCAGGCTCTAAACTCTTTGAAACTCCATTATGTGTACATTGTTTTTTTAAAAAAAATTACAAAAATTAAAATGTGGAGGAAAAAATTTAAAAATTGCATAGAGCTCATTAATATTTGAATCCTAAGAAAAAAATGAATTCAATATTAAAATTACTTGTGGAAAAATTAGAATCTAATCATTTGGTCACTGAAATCAACTTCCATAAGCCTTTCCAACCAGAATTTTAAATAAACATATTCTAAATGAGGAAGATAATTTCTTCAGTTTTATTAGCCAAAGACCCATAGAGCTATAAAAACTGTATCACATGAATTGTTTGAACAGTGATTCAGGTGAGAGGAATATGGAGAGAATAGAAAACATTTTATTTGATTTATTTTTTTACCCTGATTATTAAATCAGGGTAAAACAATCCCTAGAGCATGATTTGCTTTAAAATGAATTTGACCAGTGATTTCAGCAACTGGTAAATTCTGTAATGCATTTTAATACAATAAGAGTCTGGAGTCCTCTAGGATTCTCTTTAATATGTTGAACAGAGATGTGTACTATATAGTTTTCAAAGTAGATAGACCAGAAATAATTTTATTGGTAAAAAGTATGTATATCACTCAATACTAGCAGATATCATGTACAATATACCTACATGATAAGTATGTAAGTCATAATATAAGTGTTTCTTTCTAATCATAGTCCAAAAAGTCAAAAACCTTTGACATCTAGCTAGCCTGCATCCAATATTCCCTTCTGGAAGACAGACTTACATAAACTGTAGTAGACTGGTAAAATTCTTACCTCATATTCCTTCTATATATCCATCACATATGTTTAAAAGCTAACATTTTACTTGAAGCCTGATATCTGTTTTAAAGCAGTAAGAATTGTCATATGTTTAATCCCTAATGGCTTAAATCACAAACGGCTTATTTTCAAAATATTATCAATTGTTTCTCATCAGAATATTCATTTTTTTACAATACATAGAATTCTTAGAATTTCTTGCTTCTCTAATTTTTGAGGTTTCTCTCATTACAGAAATGAAAATCTTTCTTGCCAAATTCTTGCTAATTTTTAGGATACAAACTAGCTAACTATGGTGAGGGAGGAGGGTCAAGCTGCTTTTCATCTCCCTAAATATAACAGCTCCACAGCTAAAACTGGCACTAGAAGAGGTTCATGTACTGCAGATCTGTTTCCTGACCACCAAGGGGCAGAAAAGTATTTCTACCCCCTTACTTCTGATGGCAGTAAAAGAGAAGTTAAAAATTACCTAACCAAACACAAGTGGTAGAAGTGGTAATCTGCTAAGGGTTTTATCTATCCGCACTTTCAAGACCTATTAAAACAAACACAAAATTATCTGTCTGTCTGTCTATCTATTGATCTATCTATCTATATTTGTGATCTTTATTATCTAGCTATCATATTTAAAACTCTGATTTAAGACTGCAAGGTATTCCCCTTTAGAACACCTCAGAATCTCTCTCTCCCCCTTTTTCTTCTCTCTCTCTCTCTCTCTCTCTCTCTCTCTCTCTCTCTCTCTCTCTC